ATCCCAGTTTATTTAAAAATATTTCGTGGTTAACACAGTCAAATGCTTTCTTCAGGTCACAGAAAATGCCCCCAATAGTTAATTTATTGTTCATGGCTACTAAAATTTCATTTAATAATTTAAAAGAGGCCCTATTTGTTGTAGAGTTTTTTCTAAATCCATATTGATCACTAGCAAGTATCTTATTTTGTATTAGATGCTGGTTAAGCCTTGAATATATTACCTTTTCAAATACCTTAGAGAAAGCCGGTAACAAAGATATTGGTCTATAGTTAGAGATGTTAAGTTTATCCCCACTTTTAAATACTGGTTTTACTATTGAAAATTTCAGTCTAGTTGGGTAAATTCCTGAAGAAAGAGATTTATTTACAATATATGTTAGCGGAGAACTAATAAATAGGGCACTAGCTTTCAATATTGCGACAGGTATCTCATCATAACCATGGGAGTATTTGGCTTTTAAGGATTTGATGATTCCTTCTATCTCATGGGTAGAGGCATGCTTAGGTCGAATATTTGACAGCGGACTCGTGAACATTGAGGACATATAATTTAAATAGTTATCATGCATAGGCTGTCCAGTTTTACTAATACTTGTATTATCAATAATATCCTCAGCAACTGTTACAAAATAATCATTAAGATTTTTTGCCATGATTTGTTGGTCGGAAGTTATAATACCCTTAATATCAAGGGATTGAATGTCTACTTTATCTTCTTTTTTCCCAGTTTCAGTTTTGATTATGTTCCAAATAGTTTTTGATTTATTTTTAGAGTCTATAATCCTCCTGTCGTAGTGAATTTTTTTAGCCGCTTTGATGACATTAGTTAGAATTTTACAGTATTGTTTGTAATGTTCTTTTAATTTAATATCATTACTAGTCCTACACTGTAAATAAAGATTTCTTTTGTTTCTACATGAAATACGTATTCCTGTAGTTAACCATTCATGAACATTTGGTTTGCTCTTTATTTTTCTTCTCGTAAAACTGGAGTAGAAAATCCTAAGATAGGTATTGAGAAAATTATTAAACATTATATTTACGTCAGTTGCTTCAAAAATATCTTCCCACATCTCAAAGCTCAGTTTGAGCTTAAAATTAGCTATAGAGTGTTTATTGAAATTCCTTATGATTTGGGTGGTATTATTTAATCCTTGTATATTAAGATTTTTAAACTTAATAATTTGGGCGTCATGGTCCGATAGGCCGTTAATATGGGGATATACATTATAATTATTGTTTTTAGACACATCTAAAAAAATATTGTCAATGGCCGTTGCTACTTCATTTTGCACTCTAGTTGGAAAATTTACAACACTGGTTAAATTAAATGTAGACAGTAAGGTATCAAATTGCTGCTTTTTTTTACAGTTGTTATCTAGGTAGTTTATATTGAGGTCCCCACATATAATAAAATTTATATTTACATTATATAGATTATTCAGAATATTTTCAATCATCTTCAAAAACCACTGGAAATTCCCATCAGGAGACCTATAGATAGATATAACACAGATGATAGAAGTTGATAAGTTAATTTTTATGGCACAAACTTCAATGTCTTGTTCCTTGCAAAATTCTTGTAAATTAATAGTTATAAAACTTATAAATTCATGAATAAAAATGCATGTTCCACCATCTTTTAATTTTTCTCTACAGAATTTTGCTCCTAACTTATAATGTTCTATTGGTGAGCTTTCCAGTTCAAATTCCCTTAAATGGTGTTCCGTTATGCATAAAATATGAGGGAGTTCCGGGAGTAGTGAGTTTAACATTTCAGTTCTTTTGTTTCTCAGTCCCCTAATATTTTGATGGTATATCATTATATTGTCGTCTGCTTTATTAAGTTCTAAATTATTATGCCCTATCTGGGGTTTAAATTTTATATGTGAGGTATTGTGAACGTTGTTTACCATAAAAAATACTACTCTGTGCAATTGTAAATCCAATAAACTGATCAATCTGATCCAATCCGTACCACTTCTAACACCAGCTGTCATGTGTCACAGTGAATATAGACTGGGTTCAGATTGGTAATTGGATTTATTGACCACTTACAGGCCGTGACTATAAATAATTATAACAATGTTACTAATTTTCACACTACAAAGCACTCCAAGTTAATCTCTTCAGTCTATCTCCATTAGTCTTCGTGGATTTATGACACAGGAACTATAAAAGTATCCATAAATCACACACTCCCAATATCACTGCACTGTAGAGCACATGAAGTCTTCAAATCACATGTTAAATCTTCACAGGCAGATTTCTTGCATTCTTCTGCACTCCTCCAGCTTACTGCTTGATTCCTGTACTTGTCCAGCTTTTTTTTTTATTGCTAGTGGGGTGGGACTAAGTCCCTTGTACTGCAGCCACTTCTAGCCTATTGTACCAGCCCCAGATGATAGGTGAGGGTGACTGTGGAGCAATTGGTGGAATGAAGATTGGCAGGGGAAACCAAAGTACTCGGAGAAAACCCGCCCCAGCGCCACTTTGTCCAGCACAAATCCCACTTGACCAGACTCGGGATAGAACCCGGGCTGCCGCAGTGGGAAGCCAGCGTCTAACCGCTTGAGCTACGGTGCGGCCCTAACTCGTCCAGCTTACTGCTATCCTCTTGTTTGCATGTTTCTGCTGCTGCTGCTCATTCATAACTGCCTTGAATGAATTCTCTCACTCTTACTTATATAGCCCCAAAATGGACATGGACCTATATTAAGCACCCATCTCGTGATCACTATCCAGCCAGTCTACTGGCGTATCAGACGGATCTACAGAAAACAAAGTTTCCCCTATTGTTGCGTGCTGGAGTGTGTTTACAGAGCAATGTGTTGGTCAAATCTTTTACAATATTGTAGGATGTAGACCCATTGCTAAGTAATGACTCTGTAAATGATGGCCGTTGCTATGCAATAGATTCCTAACATGAAGCAATGGACTAACTGGGAAGCAGTGTTCTCTATGCAGTCCATGTGACAGCTGCATGATACAACAATAACAATGCTGCTGGGAGAGGTGTTTTCTGTGTGGTCCGTGTGAGGTGTTATAAGGAGAACAAGTCTAAAGTATAGTCAGTTGTGAGACAGTTGTTAGCCAGTAAAGACATGAAGATGAAAGTTGAGAAAGCTATGGCACTGGCAGGCTTCACCAGGCAACAACTGGTGAAGATACAGCAGTAGGCTGAGATGACTCAGTGCATGCTGTACTGAATAGCAGAGTGTGTGAAATAGCAATAGTGCTATAGTTACTTGTAGTTGCGATCTGTAAGTGTTCAATAAATCCAATTACCAATCCAGATCCCGTCTATAGTCACTCATACACATGACAATATAGAACACTGGGTTGTTTTTTAAACCTGCTCCAGTTCTACTCCATTCGACACCCTTAGAGTCACTGACAGTTTTCTGAACTCTTTAATGGCACATATAATGAGACTCTAGTTTAGGATATTCTGTAATTACTGAAATATCATATTTAGTGCATATATTCTCTGGTCCCAAGTGAAACCCAACAGAAGCAATGTATTTCTTTCACCCATATTTAATGAATTCAAATTTTGTAAGTAACTCTCATTTAGTGTAAGAAATTTTAAAACAGATTTTTTTTAGTAAACTTTGCAATATTTTATCAGACATAGCATGTGTACTTAATAGACATTACTGAAAGAACAATTCTCCCTGGTACAAAGATATGCCCAAAATGTACGTAGACTCTCAAGTAAAGTGAGCATCAAATTAATTGAAAGTGAAAGAAACTTAGAAATTATAATATTATGTAATGAAAATAAGTACCATTAAACTCCATCACAGAACTTGAAACACAGAGGCCTACATAAAATTAAATCAGGCTTTAAAGCAAAGTGATCCTTAAAATAAAGCGAATAAAACTTACACATGACAATACTGTTATAATAAAGGTACAGTGAACTTTCATCAAAATATATCAAATAACTCAAAATATAATACTGCATGCTAAAATTAATTTAGGTTCCTACATCAAAGAAAAGTTGTACTTGTGGTTAATTATGAACCATGTCAAGAGGGAATGGAGATTTAACTCCATGCATTCTTAATCTCAGCACTAGATGAAGATGTACTGTCAGCTTCACACCCTGGCTGCTTCAACCCTGGTGAAAGAGGTGTCAGTATACATTGGATAGGAGGAGACTCAGAGCCAATTTAAATACTGTGGAGAAGAGGAAATTATTTGCCCTTGCCAGGAATCAAACATCAATTCTTCGGTTACACAGCTAAAGCTTAGTTGCTATAATGGCTGAGGCCTTAAAATCAATCAGATGAAACCAAAATAAAACCGGCAAGTTTAGAACAGGTTTATGGTACAGTGGTTCATACAAACTTGTTGCTTAGTCACTATTGCTTGCCAAGACATATGTAACATGATATGACACCTTTTTTTTCTGTGCACTGCATCATGCTTGTGTAGATATGACAAAGTTTCATGTTTTATATATACGAGGGGCAGTCAAAAAGTTCCCGGAATGGTGGTATAGCACTCTAATGGTAAGACATATGGCAACGCTTACCTAATAACCTTCAAAGTAGGACCCTTGCACACACACACACACATACACTTGCTCCATCGATCCTGCCATTGTTGGAAGCAGCGGTGGAAGGCTTCTTTTGGAATCTACCTGAGCTCAGCCGTTGCATTCGATTTGATGTCCTCCACGGCTGCGAAATGTCCCCCCTTGGGACCCATTTTCAGAGAAGGGAACAGCCAAAAGTCACATGGAGCGAGATCCGGAGAGTACAGTGGTTGAGTGATGACAGGAATGTTTTTCTCAGTGAGGAATTGCTGCACAACAAACGATGTGTGGATCAGTGCATTATCGTGATGCAGAAACCACTGTCCTTGACACTCGTTGCGCCGCTTCCTCTAAACTGCATCATGCAACCTCTGCAAAACTTGCACATAGAAATGGCCAGTAACAGTACCAACTTCTTGCTCCAACTCTGTGATGGTCATTCTTTGATCACATCAAATCAGTTGCCGCACTTTTCCAATCATTTCTTCAGTTCTGGATGATGAAGGTCTCCTGCTGCGCTGGTCATCCTCTAATGTCTCCTGCCCATTCTTAAACCAGGAAAACCAGTTGTAAACTGCGGATTTCTTTAGTGCAGTATCGCTGTAAACTTGCTGCAGGGTCAACAGCGTCTCTGAAGCAGATTTTCCCAATCTGCACATGAACTTGAAGTTTGCACGCTGTTTGAACTGCGACATTGCGCTGAATGACCAACACTCACATCTAATTCAAACGGAACAGTAATGACACTGCACACTGAAACCTGTCCAGACCCGTTGTGCCTGCGAGCAGACATGCTGAGCTTCCCACAACAGCGTATGCGCTATCTTATTGCTCATTCTCCATCTGCAGGGGAATTCTGGGAAATTTTTGACTGCCCTAAGTATGTGTGTGTATATATATATCTATATATATATACACACACACACACACACACACACACGTTACACAACACAAATATTAACAATTTATTTCATTAATATTTACTCCACTATATGTTTCTTTACAAAACCATCAGCTGGGTAATATATAACATGAAGGAATTAGATTATGACAATTTATGATAGTTTTCCGGTGTTGGTTCACTAGCAAATATTTTAATCTTTCTTACACTATATATACTAACAATAATCTTAAATATTTCCTACTTCACTGCCATGTACTTACAGAGTAGATTATACTTTTTCAACATCGTAAATTTGGTTGTTGTCCAACACCAGATAATATTTATTCAGCCAACATAGATAGCTGTAATCTCTGAAATTCCTTTGTGTTACTCAACAATAATCTGATGATGATTTTGTATAACCAAAACATATAATGCAGTAAAAATTAATTGAGCAAATTGCTAATATTAAATCCATTTTGTATGATGGATATACACCTCAGAACTGTCAAATTACTTATTTTAAAAACATTCTGAAAGCCCTACAAATGACTTACTGACAGTGGTATAACAGATACAACAGTAAAATGAAGAGCTTCAATACAATGGGAAATGTTACAGAACGACTGATGTAATGACATCTTACTAGCTACAAGGGTTATAGAGAATCCAAAAATAAGGTAAGAGTGAATGATAAAATGGGAAGAACATGGAAGCAAGCCACTGCAGCATATTTTAAGGCATAATTTTGGCACTTGGCTGGAGGAACTAAGGAAACCCATAAAATTTTCACAAACTAAATGTAAACGTAGAAATTAAAAAATACAGATACTTACTTCTTTGTTGCTTATTTCTTTGTTCTTAGCTGGGGCTGTGACTGAAGACTCTTTAGTATGTCCATCAGGTATTGCAAACAGAATCACTGGTGAGTCACGTCCAGTGTACCTACTGCAAATAATCGGTGTCACTAAAGGGCACCATTAATGCGTCTGATGAAATGGTTTTTGTTAACTTCATGGCCAGATAGGTATCATATTTATGCATCTGAAAGGGTGGGTATTTTACCTTGCTTTATGCAGGACCATGTATCATACTGCACACTGCCCATTTCTGTGTACATGGGCTGAGCCAGACAGATCTGCTGCAGTCTGTGTCACAGGAATTTCGATTGTGAATTATGAGAGGTAGGGGGGCAGGAGAGTGACTGGAGCTACTAAAAACATGTAGGGACATAGCTATCATATTCATTAATCCACAATAATTAGTGATGAAAGTGGAAACATCATTTAATTATATTGTATTCAGAACCCAACTCATCTGAGTTTCTCTGGAAATGATGCTTCACGATGAAGGTCCAGTGACAAGAAAAATGAATTCTGATATCTGAGTGACTGTTTCCCAAGCAATCTGAGCTGGGACAGGACATCCCTGACTAAATGACTCTTCCCCTTACCGTTCCCCATGGGGTCCAACTGGGGACAGATGACAGTTATGTGTATAAAATAGTGCAATAATACAGTAATCATCATATCAACCCCTGATGATGGAGACAACCAGGCTTTGAAATGTCAAGACATAAACTTCACACCAAGATACATGATTGCCCAAGAAGACATTACTGTAATAATAATATTTCAATGATACAAAATGTATTGAGAGTTTGTTCTTAAGGAAAACCTCTCTTCCATTCTGGTAAGCACATTTAATTAATTATTTCAATTACAATGTGATGGCTCTTAGTTACCTAATTGGTTTATATGGGCTGTCACATATGAAAAATCCTCTTCTTTGCAGCTGAATAATATCAGACTTCTTAAGATTCAAAAGTTCTGGGTCACCCAGCATTCTGACTTCAGTCTGTAAAAAAAGAAAGTCTGAAAAAGGCTGTACCTGTTTTTCCACAACATACTAAAACCTACACATAACACTTAAAACTTAACGTGGGGTCAGACAACCATATTCATTATTTGTTCTTTATTTCACATAGCTTGTGGAATGGGAAGCTGCAAGGAACAAACAAATGAATAATATTTTCCACCTAGTAGGGTCTCAGGCAACCTGCCACAACAATGTGGTCTCCTTTACTGCTCTCCTGTTGCCCAGTTCTGGACAGTGTAAACTACAGCACCAGTCCCAGTACCGACACAGACAGAATCTTCTAAATTTAAGATTTTTATTCCTAACTGATATAGGTGATCACTCGGGAAGAGATCACTGTATTTAATTGCAATGAAAAATTAAAATTCTACAGCTTTCCAGCAATTTTTTAATATGCATTCCTTGCAATTACACTTTTAGCCTGCATTGCAAGATTTCACTTGCCCACACAAACCTTCTTTTTTTTTTATCAGGAAGTAATAATCAAGTATATCAAAAACAGCTGAAGACATAGAGAATGCTGTCATGTGTAGGTTGGTATGCATGATGAGAATGATGGGTTCCAGTTCGGATGATTGGATTCACTGGCACTTTGGTTACACACTCTCTCTTAATCACAATTAAATACAGGCAATACAGCACTATTGCTGATTTAAACGCTTTACAGTTCATTGTTGCACACAGTGGGATTCCCAGTCTTCACCAGTCGTCTCCTAGCAATGGATCTCAACACAGAAACTATAACAGTCTCACTGGATCATACACTCCCAATATCACTGTACTATCGCACACATGAAGTCTTCTATTTCACATGCAAATTCTTCACAGGCTGACCTCCTGTACTCTGCTGTACTTCTAGTTTCAATTCACGCTTCCAGCTTATGATTGACTTCAGCTTCCTCTTTACTTCAGAATTCTGTTCACTTTTATAGGCATGGGACAGACAATGCCTCACACTGAACATATGTCACATGATTGCTACCCACTACTGTTGTGTAATGTCACAGTGTGCGTGTTGCATAGCAACAGTTCATCTGCAGACATAGAAAACACTGTACTTGCACTGTTGGCCGCGTGTGCATTGCAGGTGTTGTCTAGCAATGGCCAACATTTACAGATTCATTGCCTAGCAATGGGCCTATATGCCACAATATATTGCAGAATTTTCTGTTAACTAAAAAGCCTCACAAACAGTGAAATATGAGTATCTTGTAGCAGAAAGAAAAAAGCAGGAAAAGCATGGGTTTAATAAGAGATCAACAAAAGCACACATGCATACAGTGAGAGAAAAGGCCATGCAATTGTTAAAACTGCAAATCATCTTACGAGGTTCAGTGACTTAAACTGAAATAGTAGGTACATGAGCTTCATTTTTTAAATTTCTATTCCTGAATTATACAAAATTTTATATAGGATCCCATTTATTTTATTTTTCACTGCAAATACTGAATATTAATATTGCATTATAACTGTCTGCATTTACAAGAAATTTATGCAATGAAACTTATGGTAAGGCTTTAAAAAAATAAACAGACATTAATACCCTGGTGTTATGACCAATGTAATCCTTGAAATCTTCATCCTTCCCCAGGACAGCTTTACTGATGATGTGGTCAAAATAAACACATATACATGGTACAAAAGGTGCGCTCTCTGTCTCAGCCAACCAAGTTAATTTTATGGTCTTCTTGTAATCCTTATTAATTAAATTGGGTTCAGCTTCAACTGATACAATTTTTCCATTCATTCTGAAAGAAGAAATTAAATACTTCAATTTGTTGGTAAGTAACAAAGTAAGCACTAAAACAAGACTCTTTTGTAAAGAAACAATGTGCCAATTTTTGACAATCTTTTGCTTTACGACACAGATAAGGGTCTTCACTGAGAGCTGATAATTAATCAGCTGATCATGAAATTTCTTATTTTCAGCTAATATGAATATTCATAACCATGTTCACAAAAGTCTTACATGAGTATGAGGGGTGAGCCATAAAAAACGGCCTTCGTACTGTGACCTTCAGTGATCTATAAAGTTTTACACGGGACATAACTAGAGTCTGCTGAATCCAGTCCATACATCCACCCTACTGCAACTATAAGCCAAAACAGCAAGGTACAGAGCATGACTCTCTGAATTCCCCTTTGATCAATTCCACTTCTGTACTGCAGGCTGGTCATTTATCAGCAATTTTTTCTACCCAGTGTCACACAGTAACAAGTGAAGACATGACATAATATTCCTCTTCAGAATGCACTTTGAGCATTTACTTCTTCCCCTTGCTGCTAGATAATGAATGTAATACCTTTCATGAATCCTTGGACATATATAGATCATTTACTATTCACTTCATTAGAGTGAAATACTGCGAACTACCAATGCACTTTAGGAGTGGCCAGGATTTGAGGTAAGCCAGCAGCAGAATTGCTTGGAGTTAAAATGTCAGAACCTTGGAAAAATAAGAATAATTGTTTTTCATTTCATTTATTCACCTTCCATAAATCCTGTCACTTTCTTCTAAGCTTATTTCCATAGGGCCAAAAGAAGAGTTTGGTACATCAAATGAGAAACCTAGGATGACAGTATTTATGTACTAATTCTTACCTCAATTAAGTTTTTTCAATAATCATACTTTCACAGGACACTCTTAAGGCCTGAAGCAAGTATACAGATACTTAGTATGTTGGATTTTGTAGCAGTGATTTCTTTCTTGTCACTCTATTTAAAGAAAACGGTATTCTTCATAGTCACCACCGTGAAAACCTCAAATTTTACAACTCTATTCAAAATTTGTAGTCTTAATGTATTTACTTGTATAATTCATGAATTTCTAATGAAAAGTTCTTGTCCAACAGTTGTGGCACATAAAATACGAAAATATAAATTTCAGAACATAATTTTACCCAAGAGAGGTTAGAGTGAAAAACACCTTGCGTAGGAGAAATGGATTTTTTTTTTTAGTTTGCTCTATTTCTGAAGAGATCTACTTATTTTGGAAGCTTTAACACATGCATGTTCAAAATGATAAACTACAGAGGGGCCCCAAAAAGTGTATACATACTGGTCTGCCGCCATTTTCTTTGACTCTCCTGCCATTTGATAAGGTCACTCTGGCATTCATGCTACTAGCACAATCTTTTGAGAAAATATCATGCTACACACCATACATTACATTTCGGTTCAACTTTGCTGTTGTGTCCGTAGATAGGTAAGNTGAGTGCCGTTCCGTACGACACACCTATGGCCTCTGCTACTTCGCGCACTTTAGTTCGGCGATCAGCGAGAATCATGTCATGGACCTTTTCAACGATTTCCTCGGTAACGACGTCTGCCGGGCGGCCCGGCCGCTCCTCGTCAAAAACAGATGTACGACCACGTTTAAATTCGTTGAACCAATATCTCACGGTTGTCATAGATGGTGAAGGGTCCCCATAGACGGCATCCAACTTCGCTTTTATTTCTTCGCATGTTTTTCCATCCAAAAATAAAAAGCGAATTACGGATCGATATTGCACTTTCTCCATTGTATCAAGAAAGACAAAACACGTCTGATGCAACTGGCTGCCAAATAAAAACTAACCTATGAATCAGTCTGAAATTTAGTATGGGGTCGTTTGACAGATGGCAGTACACGACGGTAAAGCCAACTTCCCTCAGCAACGCCACCTGTCTTCAAACACGGGTACTTATTGATCGACCCTCGTAAATTGTCAAAAAAATATAGTATTTTGAGGATTGTATTTACTCCTTCCTAAATAGGATTGTGTTTTTTTTTGGGGGGGGGCAATAGTTTAAGTTGTGTGAATTCAAGCTTTTGTCACAGTGTATTATAGAAATGAGCACTTTAAATATTATCTGTTCCTATAAACTTGTTTACATTGTGGCAATCATGAAACAAATGCATAAGTTCTGTGTGATGACATTTAATCATCCTTTGAGGAAACAGTCTCAGATGTCAGTTTTAAGGACAGTGAAACTAAATATAATACGTAGTAAAAGTGATTCTACACGTAGTAAAGACGATAGTGAAAAGGTTAAACCATCGTTACTGAACAACAAACCCGAATCATGTGTGTAGCTTGTCTATTACTCTAGTAGTAATGGTCATGTGATCACTTAAATACTGTTTCCAGGCCATACAATGTGCCACTTAAAGAAGACTCAACATATTAAAAGGATAATTCCTTACCGATTAATCTTCTTGATTAATAGGTTCCCCCAGTTAATGAAGGTAGTATTTTCTCCTTCCTTCAATGTTTCTGCATCAACACCATCTATAAGAATTCTTGGACCAACCCAGATAGTCTTTGTACCAATTTCATCATTTTTAGGATGTTTTGCAACAGTCAAAGGTTCAAGGCTTGCTCCATTTACAAGTACTGGCACAGTTCCTTCTGCTTCCAGAGCAGTGTAACGGGGAGCAATGGGGTCTATCACCTGAAACGTCAAACATCTGCCATTATTAACGAGGACAACACCTCCAGGCAGGCTATCACCATTCACTTGGATTCCTACCAAAATTAGTTGTGATCAAAATACTAATTATGGAATAACTTAAAGATTTATTAGGACATATCACACTGTAAGTTTTGTCTGTTGATCCTGATCTCCTTAATCACCACACACTCTTTTTCTTGCTTTAATTAATACTGTTTTTTTAAATATACTACTTAGAAATGAAAGAGGAATATGATAATTATGAATGGGTGCAGCAACAGTCTGAAGTGACAAAGGAAAACTACAAAAAAGTTAATCAGGATAGCCTGTATCAAGGCTGACTTCTGAACTGTGGACATCCCATGTGGAGCAGAGGTACATTAACCACTACACCATGATCCTCACTGTCAACCTTTCAATGGCAGTAAACAAAATCCCATGCTAAGAGCTTCTGCCTCACTGTATAACAGCTCATAACATTACATTGGATCCTTCAACCTTGAAATGCTGTTATACTATCAGGGAAGTTAAAATATCATACAAAAAGAAAACTCCGTGGTTTTAGTCCACAAGCAAACTATACCAACCGACCGACTGCTGCTGCTCAGTGAAGTTAGTGCCAACTTTAGTGGACAGAAGGTGTCACATCAGCGCAATGAATGCCCATGGCCATTAATTTCGGTTTTCTAGACCTGAGCCGTTATTTCCTTGAAACAGCTCCTAAGTTATCTTCATGAGGCTGAGTGGACCCCATTCCAGACCCATTACTTCTCAGAAAAAATCTGGTAGCGCCGGGAATCGAACCCGGACCTCCGAATCTGTAGCTAGGAACTCTAACCACTAGGCCACAGATCATACAGGGTACTAGAAAATAAGAAATATAATTTCAAATGTGCACATTTTCACAGCATGACCTGTATTTTTTTTAAACTGAACATTTAGAGTCATAGTCCTTATGTAACATCTGCTCTGATGAGAGGATGGGTCTGTCATTCACAACTGATATTGGCCTTTGTCAGCGCAGTCATTCTCAGGTCTGAGTCCTTCAGGACTCATCACCACATACTACTGTCTCAGATTCGAGACTCCCTCAACCTCAAGGGCCAGGTCCCTGTATTTATATCTGCCAAAGACAGGGTCGCCCAGTTACACCCCTAGGCACTGGGTTCCTTTTTCATCACCTTCTACAACTCCCAGGGCTACAGTGGAGGTATTTGACCGCATATCCACGCAGGTTTGACTGACTGTCAACTCAGCTGGTGATCTTAATGCATAACCTCAGCATGGACTGCATAGAAAACATCACTTCTAAGAATTCCTCTACTGTTGAGTAATGTGTTAAGCAGGCTGATGCCAAGCGATAGCCCACATATTGCTAATGAGGGAGTGTGTAGGTTCCTGTGGAAATGTGCTTATTGCACCACTGTCTAGCAAATGAAAACTTTTCTGGGTCTCCCATTCTGGCTCTCAGCTGTCTTGTCAGAATAAAAGAGCCACCATACCTACAAAATGTACTTTAGTGACCAAGTTTAAATAAAGTCCCTCTTTTCACTGTAAATGCATAGCATATAAACCAACATAAGACACTACATACCTTTTTGTTGAATGCCCAGATCTTATCCCACTCCATCATAACAACAGATCGAGACGAACCTTGAGCGATGATAAACTGTTTTAAACCACTGACTGTCATGCCACGTCTCAGAACCCCACGTACAGTTGGGAAACGAGGATCATCCCTGCAAATATAATCCCACTATACTGCTTAACTAATTAAACACTATGCTATAAAGATGTATGGGAGAGATGATGTATAGATTCATATATTCTTGACCTCAGCGCTATTTGGAGGTGAGTGGTCAGCTTCACTGCCCCCCCCCCAACACTGCATCACTGTTTAATTTAAATTAAATTGGGATACAATTTAATTTAAAGTTCTTGTGCTTACATCCTGTTCCTTTTCTTATGAACTTCGATCTTTGCAGGGAAATACAACAACTAGTCATGACAAAGGTTGGGGTTAGCCCTCAGCCGAGGACCTCAGTTGTTGCTTGGTAGTGATATGAAATGTTTCCATGCAGTGCAGTGCTCTCATATTTTATTGCTCATGGAAGGAAAATGAGTGGTTTAAAAAATGCTAACAGGTGGTACACAAGCACTGTAGGAGACACGTATACATTATCTGAGAGTGATATGGAGTATGAGGATGAAGACAAAGGAGCTTACTCAACTTCTGCCCACTTTCTATGGTCATCTGGCTGTGTACCACATTCTCTCACTAGAATCAGCCCACCCCACATCCCCACCCTGCTGAACAGCATTCTTCTGCTCGATTTTCACTTATGCTTCATTAGAAAAGGAAAGAGACTATAATTAAGCAACACACAACAAAGATATATAAGGGAATGGAGGTACAGCTCCACACTGTTAACCTCACAAATAGATGGAGGTGGGTGGTCATCTTCATGTTGCTTTACTTCTGGAGAAAGAGCACCTAATGCCCACTCATTATGATGGTGGGAGGGCTCCAGAACTGGTTAGAACATGATGGTATAAAGATAAAAATCCTTATGACTGTGAGGGATTGAATCTTGGTTGTCCAGCTCAGAGTAAAGCATTACAATGACTTAAAAAAGAACCACCAGGAAAATATTGTGAAACAATGGAACACAAATGCTTAAGAACATAATATCTTTTCAACGACACAAACTGCTCACCAAATTTAATAAAAATCAGTACTGATTCAAATGTTAAGGGCTACATGTATCACCTTATCAGAAAATTTTTCCTCTTACAAATCAATCCAAAGTATAATTTTACTGTAATTACCATCCATCCACAAGACCCTCATCAACGAACCAGGTGAGTTTGCGTTTTGACAACACAGTATTCATCATGTTCAGGCGACTATATTCCCATATGTACGGCTTTCTTAGACCAAGGGCATCAATGAACCAATAAAACTGATCATCTCTGTCATGATACTCGGTTGTTCTCAGGCAATGCGTCACACCTTCAATACTGTCCACAATGGGACATGCAAAGTCATAAGTTGGATAAACCCTAAGAAAGAAATTGAGTGACACTTAATGACTGTTCCACTAGAATTATCACTTGCGGTGTTATTTTATGATACTTAAACATGTTAACCTAAAGCCATTATTAGTCATTAGCAAAGTATGAAATCTCTTATACATTTAAGGCAAGAAGTGTATAAAAGACAGTAAGGACTGACTTAAATTCTTTTATCTAGTTATACTTCTGTATCACCTTTATCAGTTTATTCTTGTGTCTAACAGACGCAAGAGAACATAATAAGCTGCTGACAACCTGTAAACAGAGCAACTTCACAACTACATACAAATTACATATATGATAAAATTACTTTATAAATATATTGCACTGTACCTTGCTAAGACTGCGATGTTGTACAATGACATTTGCTGTAGAAAAAGATTCATAATAATAAGGAAATTTGATTTTATCACACTGGCTGGGTCTGAATATCAAAGAAAATAAATTCATAAGGAATAAACAGCAGCATTTTGCAGTCAATAATCAGGAAATTACAGTATATCCTCTAAAAAAGTAACACAGCAAAACATCTCTCATCTATAACAAATATAATGACAGGATACAATATAGACTGAAAACCTCTATATAAAAACTTCAGTATGCCACATTAGTCAAAATGCCTATTGTCTAGTCTAGTTTCTCTTAAAATTATTTGTAGTTTGAAGAGTTCCAATGATCTCTAGTCAAGTGAAAGTCAACTGAAATTTTGGAGAAATATGTCACCTCCATCTTCAGGGTCAAAGAATAAGCGAAGTAAGAAACCAGTGTGAAGCAGGTAGCGAGCATGCATGTTGAACCAAGCTGAGGGGTTAATCAGTTGCTGTTTATTTTAATTATAGCAATATTATGACTATATATCCCCAGTTACTTTTCTATTATGGAAATCTTATGAATACATATATCCAACTGATAACACAGGCTATGTGGTCAGACACAGGAAACACGAGACTGTGCCTGTATCTTTTTTTATTTAACAAATCCAGAAAGTCAACTAGGATCTCCTTCAAAATAGTTCCGTTCTCAGTTGACACACAGCTGCATACGATGCTGCCGACATTCGAAGCAATTCAGCAGATCACTTTCTGAAAGGCTGCTGAGGATCTCCGTTATTTTTGCTTTCACATCTTCTACAGACAAAAAAATGGGTTCCTTTGAGCATTGACTTGATTTCTGGGAAGAGGCAGAAGTCGCAGGGAGGTGAATAGAGTGGGTGCTCAAGCACAGTGATGTGATTAGCTAAAAATTGCTTAAAAAACAAAGTATTGTGGGCTGGCACATTGTATTGGTGCAAAATCTGTTTCTCCATATTTCTGGGCATTTCCTTCTCACGCGTTGGAGCAATTTCGTCAATACTTCAAGGTAACACTACTGACTTACCGTCTGGCCGCTGGAAACCCACTCTCCCATTACAATACCCTGGATATTGAATATAACAATTAACATGGCCTTGAACTTCAAACAACTTCCTCTGCCTTCCGAAAATCATTTGTGTCATTCAAAAATGTGTGCACGAGACATGCACTCTTCACTGTAGGCCTCAGTCAATAACTGAAAAGTTTCTGTCGCAGATTTCACAAGAAACTTGATGTTAATTCACTGTTCACTCTTGCACTCCAACATTTTCCGAATGTGTAAGAAAAAGTCTATATCTGAATATGCATCCACTCATACCAAGTGAATCTATGGAGCTGATTGTTGTCTCACAGTGACAGGTTAGAACATGCTCTATAACCATCTCCTTGTCTCTCCCCTCCCACCCTTGGTTCCCAAGCTATAGGGTTAGTCTCTCTCTTTTTTGTGTGTGTCTGACCACATATTATTTAACAGCATGGCACCATACAGTGATGGCTTGATGCATTAAATTTACATCAATCAACTGCACAGCTATGGACACTGACCAGATTCTGCACTATAAAAATCAGTCATGATCATCTAATAACCAGGTGAAACCAAAGGAAAAGTGACCCGGAGAAAAAGCATTCTATAATTTTCATTTTGTGCATCCTGCTGTGTTATTATATACAATTCATTATTAGACCTTGACCATTGTATCGTTGTGTTGCGACGGACTCTTATAAGGAATTACAAAGCATTGAATGTATAAAAATATTCCAATATTTATTTAGAGTGCCTTAGATTTTGCTTCACAATGGTTCTAATGCACTGTGTGAGAATGCAATAACATGTTTCATACAAATCTGTTGCACAATTAGCATTGTGGTTCATGCTGTTGCTAACAACTTGACATGCTCAGTAGGGGAAGGGATCTTCCTTGAGACCATAGCTCATAATGCCAACTTGAATCAAATACAAGTAAACATGAAATGCACTGAATTCCTTGCATCAATTTCAAATGGAGCCATATGAACATACTTGTAATTTGTACCGGTTTTTGGATGTGGTTCATTCTTACACCTGTAGATGGTTGGGTCACGCAAACACCCATTGGCTGAATTCATGTCAATCTTTGCACGTACACAACATTTTTGACCATATTCAGTGCCTCTTTTCATTTCCTCCCACATTTTGAAATTCTTTTCCACAGCTATTGAAAACAAAGAAACAAAGAGAAATTAATTTCCTTACAAAAAATAGGAGTGTATGAAATAAGTAACAAATTATATAAGAATGCTGTACCAACTGCAGTTCTTATTTAGTATCAAATGAGATATGTTCACAGTTAATAATTAACAGGAAGGGACAAGAGAGAAAACAGCTGTGACCTATTCTATCATATTAGTTTGGCATCTGATAGAAAGAGCTCTGAAAAAAACATAAATATCCAATCACTTCCAACTTAGTGTTTGTAGTGGGTACCTCCATAACACTATGAAATGTGTTACCCAATGCTGAAGATGCCCAGTCATGAACACGAAATCCTGCCGGTTCTAGTTCAATACCAAATTCTAGAAGCATCTGACCTAATGGGCTGAAAATTTTATTTTGTAAAACTTCTGTTTCAGGATGATGAGTAAGTAAATCAGTACCATGACAGTTTAATACATATGGTATTAGCACTTCTCACATAAAAGATCAAAATTCAAAATTCTTCTGCTGAAGAGCATCTGTATGAAAATAACCAACACTAACAAGAGAAACATTTCACATAATCTAAACATGACTCAGGACGTTGAAAGATATTATAACATTTTGATTTAGACTAGTCTTCTGGGTTATGACACTGTGTAGTCTCACAACAATGTTATGGAGACAGCAGATTCCGCCAAAACGTTATTAACCACCTAAGCAACTACAGTTTCACCCTGTGAAAACATCAGATCTAAACTATACTTCAATTACCTAATATATAAATATGCAACATTTCTGTTAAGACTTTTCCTACTGCAGACATAACAGAGAAGACATAAACGCATAATGAACTCTGTTCTATACGCCTGTCAGTATGTATGGCTATCATTTCTGATAAAGCAATGTGTAAGCATTGCAGCAGAGTTTTTGGATGTAATTAAAATTCTGATTCCCTGTCTTTTCATTTAAACCAGCAAGTCAAATTTAATTTCTTAATTTCAGTGTTATTCCTTCTCTATACAGTTTCAGTTCTATGTACTGTGATATTGACAAGGAACGCAACCATCTCCCAAGAAGATAATGGGTGCTTCTATTTGTGTTTTATATAATCCTACATGTTTTTAAACATATGGCAAAGTGAAACCAGGGCTTCAGGCAAAATCTGAAAGCAGAAACAATAACTTCATGGAGCTGAGCCCTTCTTGAGAAGCTGCCAATTGTGTAGCTACTTTGGAACTTCTAGCATTTTATGAAACCTGAAGGTTCATTACTGTGTTCACTAGAGCCCTCTAACGGCTCCTGTCCTGAGCCATGCCAATCCAGTCTATACCACTCCATCCCATCTAAGATCCATTTTAATATTATCCACCCACCTATGTCTTGGTCTTCCTAGTGGTCTCTTTCCTTCTGGCTTTCCCACCAATATCCTATATGCATCGAAAGCAGAAACACACAAAGAAAAAAGCAGGCAGCTTTACTGACTTGTGTTATGTGTGAGCAATACCAGGATTCCTAGACCAAGTAACAGAAGATATAAAAAAGAGAGTATAGAAAGAGTGGACACACATACAAAGGAAGCATTTACAGGAGGGCAGAAAAGAATGAAGAAGGCTTTGTGCAAATTCCACAATAAATGCTGAACACAATTATGATACATACAATGCAAAACATTACTTATCATTCTGCTGACATAAAAGTACTACAACATAAGTATCAGACCAATTGCTTCTTGGGTGACAAGACAAATGGTAAAATGACAGTGTATAAAGAAATAGAAGGGCTGTGGAAGAAATCAGTCATGGGCTATTTTAAAGTAGTATATGAATATCTGATTTGTAGGACTGAGGAAAAACCATGAGAACTTATAATCAGGACAGCCACTCCTTGGGGCAATATTCAAACACCTGGAGAATATGATGCAGGAAAGCTATCCATTCAATCAACTGCATAAATCCAGTTGCTTCAAATCACAATTCACTGACACCAACAACCTTTTTAGTTACACAAAATGAATGAGGTTTCAATGAAAATTCCTATAATCTTTAATGCAAACAGACTTTCTCATTACTGTGTAGGATTTGAGGTTCTCACAGCGGTGGTCATGAAGATGTCTACCTTCTGGGATATAACACTGTGAAGTCCACTGAAAGTCAACCAATATTTTGGAGGAATATGTTGCCTCCATTTTCAGGGTTGAAGCTTGCTACCTGTTTCATGCTGGTTTCTTGCTTGGCTTATTCTTTGATCCTGAAGACAGCTGACTTTCAACAGACTACACTGCATTATACCCCAGAAGACAGAACTCTTCTTTCCCATTTCTTACCATTAGATCTGTTTTTTGAATCTATCCTCTGTTCTCTCTCTTGCTTCATCACCTCAGGCTCAGTGTCATCAACATATGCTTTCCCTTCCTTCATCAACTTTTCACAGTATTCCAGCATCAGATCAAAGTAGTCAGATGTATGTGTGAATCTATCAGGCTTGATCTGAAGCAGCTGCAGGTCCTCCAAGATCACCTAAACCAAATTATTTTTGGCTTTAACAAGTATGATCATCTACTATGGAGACAACTGCCATACTGAAAATACTGTCATGTGATAGAGTGACTACAGATGGGGTTTGGATTGGTAATTGGATTTATTTGATATTTACACTTGTAACTACAAGTAACTATAACAAGCTCACTGAGTTACACAGTCCAAAGTAACACTATAACTAAAGCACATATAAAGTTTTCCCAGTCTTCACTAGCGATTGCTTGGCAGTGGCTTTCAATGGCGGACATTTCCCTTCCTCTGCATTCCCAAACTCTCCCCGGCCTCAGCTACCTGCTTCTCACTTCTTACAACTGCAGCTCTCAACTGACTCAACTAACTACTAGTCCTATACAAGAAAGGTAGTATATTATCCTCCTGTCCATGCAGTCTGTCTGTCTATCCCTAAAAACTTGATGGATTTTCATAAAACTTTGTATAAATATCATGGCACTAGAGAGCACCCAACCTCACTACTCTTCATGCTCCTAAAATCAATAATGCCTACATGGTAAACATGAGAATTTTTAATTTATGATTCCAAAATGTTGAGTACTAACAGGTGCACAAAAAAATAAGCAACTCTCACTAAAGTTAATTTCTTTAGTGTAAAACAAGATGTGAAACTATGTGCAACTTATATGTTACTCCCTGTAACTACAATAACTAACTAACCAACCACGGGAACAAAACTTGCAAAATTTAGTGTCAAGATAGATCATAAATATAGTTGCAAATTCTAAAATATTTACATCTTAACAATTACAAACTTAGCAATGGTTTGAAAAGTTGACCTTGTATAATTTAGTTCTTGCTACCCCTGCCACACAGATCGAAGAAATATTTCAAAGGAACTAAGCATAAGTTATACTCCACATTTCCTGATTCTAGAAGTAACTGAGGTATATATCACACAGACAATGCACAATATGATACTAGACTTGCTGTATTTAATACAATATACTGCACTCAGTTCAATTTAAGGAAATTCCCTCAACTGCCCAGGCTGAAAGATTAAAAACAAGATACTTCAGTCTTTTGGTGGCTTATTTTATTATGTTTAACTATGTAGGAGTTGGAATAGCTCAATTGGTATAGTGACAGGCTACTGGCTGCACAGCCCAGGTTTGATTCCCAGCAGTGCAAGGGTTTTTGCTTCTTCCAGGGCCCACTCAGCCTCCTATCCATGGGGTACTGGAGGTTCTTTCCCTGAGGGTAAAGCAGCAGGGGCATGAAGCTGACAATTCACCTCCAATTTGTGTCAAGATCAAGAAAGAATGGATATATACATCCACTCCCCCCTATGTCATGGCATAGTACCTAATTAGTTAAGCACAGGGACAACTTTAGCTTGCCCTACACATTTCATTCAAATTTCTGGTGATCACCCTGCAATACGTCTAGTAGTGTTGGGAAAGACATACCTTGTGAAAACATTCCTTCACCCCTTCCCCACATAATGCTCAGGAAGGTGAAGACAAATTTCTCTCCTACATTTTTCCCCTTTTGTTCCTGCTTAACCTAGTGAAATAATTACATTCTTTTGTCATGATGTTTGACAAGTTTGCTTTCTGTAGAGCTATTGGCTACTGACATCCATGAAGGAGTAAATTAACTGCAAATGCCAAAGTATGATGTGATATAATCTGATCCCTTCATTCTGACATCATGAATACAGCAATAATACAACTTATGTAAGCACTGGGAGGTGCCCATTATGGGTCCAAGATCTCCTTCAAACAAACTGTACTAAACTATGAGATAAAATTGCTCACTTTTACGAAAATCTTATGAATATCTATTCCCATTAATCAAGACAGAAAAACTACCATAATCTTATCTTCACCTGACTTCACTTGGAATAGACTGTTCTACAGAGGAAGAACGTGACACCACACATCTTTTCTATTAATTACCATCAAGATGCTACATAAACAGTGGCCTAGTTCTTAAACAGTGGTGGGTACAGATTGCTTTATGCGGCATAAAAAGCTAGTTGTTGTCACTCAAATGGAATAATATAGGAGAGAGAATGGAATTTTAATTTTAGATTACATTACATTACACTACATTGCATTACATTGCATGGATGCAAAGTTAGTCAAAATGACTGTAGGATGTGGAATATGTCATATAAATACAAAACAGATGTATGAAGATATGAGATAATATGGATACAACATACAAACATTACACTTCCTTCACTGATACTACACAGAAGTAACAACTCTGATGAACTGACAATGATTATATAACTGCCAGTCAATTTTACTGACCTTCTCAAAATCCTCCTTTTCTTTGGCAGGATTTGTGTCATCAAATCTCATAATCAGCTTACCCTTAAAAGTTTCTTGATAATACTGATTAAGAAGAGCAGCCTTTGCATGCCCAATATGGAGATAGCTATAAAATTAAATGCAACATTACAACAATTTATGTGCAAATCAATTTCATTCAAACTTAATCATCAAGGAAAACAAATTATGAAACATACATGTAGCATAACAATTCTAACTGAGCAGGTTGGTGTTGTTAATGCTCTAAACTTGTATTCAGAAGGCCCTTGGTTCAAATTTCTGCTAGAATATTGGCTATCCTAACTCAGGCTTTCTTTGGCTTTCCTTAGTGTCTCCAGGCAAATGCCAGGGTAGTACCTCCATTAGACAAGATTGCCTAATTCCAATTCATTATTTACTGATCATCCTACCACTTGTGGCCACATAATCTGGGGATACTGAAAGCATCATAAACTGAACCACAAGCCATAACAATTCTGGTGTGTACATGTTGTCACTACCTATACATTTCGGTTTCTAACATAAAATGTACTCAAAATTAGTCACCCAGTTCCTGAATTATGAGATGACACACAACACAAATTCATTTTATCTTGAAAACCATAAGACTTATGGGAAAATGTACTGGATATACACGTGTTTCATTTCTGTATACAACTTTCGGTTGAAACATTTTTCACTCCAATTAATATATCAGCAAGTTGTGTTCAAGATTCACTCTGGCAAATACATAGGTCTTCATGTGAACTGTCCTCTTTTGCCAAGCTTTAAAAAAACTGGAAGGTTTAGAAAAATATTAACAGAACTCAGCAGTATAAAATTTCATGAAAAAAAAAAGACTCAGCACATCTTAAATTGTTACTTCCAGACAGCACAGACAGACATCATGCAGCTAACAAGTGCAACCTTTCACTGTGAACACATCAAAAATATTCAAAGGATGGCACTAATCATCAAGCTGGGTACTTTAGTCTTAAACTACAAGCTACTGTACTGGAGCAGTGGGCTGCTTTAAGATCTTTCATTACATTCTTCATGATGTCACCCATACAGCTTTGTTCAGAGTGATGGTCTCTATAAATTACCAAAATTTAATCAAAACTGTCAGTCTTTAAAAAATTACAATTTTGTGTCTGAAGCTACAATTTACATATGCACTGGGCACCAACATATGATGGATGAACTGTTAAATACAGAACATGAAGAAACATGTCCAATTACTCAGTTGCTTGTGAAGCACACATGCAGACAGACAATATTCCAAAAACCACTCTTTTTGTATTCAGAGGTGTTGAAAATGTGTAAATCTGTCAGAATCTCACAAGTCTAGGATTTTTTCAGTATGGGTGTGAAACTTGGTCTCTGACATTAAGGAAGGAACATAGACTGAGGGTGTTTGAGAACAGGGTGTTGAGGAGAATATTTGGACCAAATAGGGATGAAGTGACAGGAGGTTGGATAAAACTGCATAATGTGGAGCTTCATAACTTGTACTCTTTTGCAAGTATAATTAGAATGATCAAGTCAAGGAAGATGAGTTGGGCAGGGCATGTAGCATGAATGGGGGAGAAGCGGAATGCATACAGGATATTGGTGGGAAAGCTGGAAGGAAAGGGACCACTGGGAAGACCAAGGCGTAGGTGGGTGGACAATATTAAAATGGATCTTAGAGAGATAGGATGGGATGGTATGGATTGGATCAATCTGGCTCAGGATAGGAACCAGTGGAGGGCTCTTGTGAACACGGTAATCAACCTTCGGGTTCCATAAAATGTTGTGAAATTCTTGAGTAGCTGCAGATTTGGCTTCTCCTCAAGAAGGGCTCAGCTCCATAAGTAATTAGGTACGTAAGTAAGCAAGCCATTATTGGGTTATGGCTCCCCCCCACGATGTTGATTCCTCAGCTTCCATGTTCATGTCCTTATCAGCCGGCAACTCTCCAACATAGTTCTCTTTACATAACTTCCCAATGATCTGTACAGAAACACTCCTTCCAACAATTCCTCCATATCTGTTGACGCAGAAATTTGTTTACTCAGCCGCTGCCTTGCAAAGAGTCATGTAATTATGTCACAATGTGCATGAACAGTAACTGTGCACTCACTAGTATTCACACATTAAAAATCCTTCATTGTATTATCCATTAGTCTATACAAAAGAGAAAGTAAACAAGAGAAACTTACCCGCTGGCTTCGGGTGGAAATCTCACGACCACCTTCCCTACCTCAGCACCTGGTAGTTCCACAAATTTTCCCTCTTCCTTCCTCCCACTTCCACCTGCAGTTTTATCAGTGGTACCAAATTTTGGTTTTGCTTCATCAGGAATAGATGCAAGAAATGACTCAACATGGCATAATGACTTTATGAAGTTATACCAGCGAACTACATTTCCTGGGGCATTTCCATTCTCAAGTGAAGAACTCCACTGCTGGCTATCTGTTGGACAAATATAATAACTACAATAGGAGCAGCAAGAAAAATCACCAAACACTTACTTGTGTTCTTAGTCTGAATCACTGGAAACAAAGAATGGAAATACGTGGGGCAATCTAAAGGTTTCCGAAATTTGAATTTTGCATGAATGGTTATGAGTACATTGAAATACCGCTAGGTGTCTCCTCACACATCCTTCTTGAATCATTGTGGCAAGCGGCATCGAGTTGAGTCGTTGGGTTTATTGTTGGTGAACGTATTTCCATTGTTGTGTTTCCGTGAGTTTGCGGTTTTGCGATGGCTGACCTGAGAGAGCAGTGTGTATGTATAAAGTTTTGTTACAAACTTGCGAAAACCGCTGCAGAAACGCACCAAATGTTGAAGCAAGCTTTTGGTGAAAACAGTTTAGGCCAGACACAAACTTACAACTGGTATAAGTGTTTTAAAAATGGCCGAACATTGACTGATGCTGACGATCGTTCGGGACGGCCGTCAACGGGCAAAACACGAGAAAATGTCGCGAAAGTTAGTGATCTGATTCTGCAACATCATAGACTGACCATCCAAGACCTCTGTAACACCTTGGGACTAAGTTATGGTACATGTCAACGAATTTTGTCAGAGGAACTGAACATGATGATGATTGCGGCGAAGTTTGTGCCATGAATGCTGCAAAATGAACAGAAGCAGTATCGCTTGGAAGTCTGCAGGGAACTTCAGCAACAGCTTCAAGAGGATCCAAACTTTCTTTCGAAGGTTGTCATTGGTGACGAAAGTTGGGTTTATGGCTAGGACCCTGAAAGCAAGCAGCAATCGTCGCAATGGAAGAGCCCTTCTTCACCTCGGCCAAAAAAAGCTCAACAAGTCAAGAGCAACATTAAGTCCATGTTGATGTTTTTTTTTTATACTGATGGGATTGTTCATGCTGGTATTGATTTTATTATTATACTTGAAAATACCAGCTCTATGCTTAGTTATAGGAAATCTCTGCTAAACTTTACTGGTGACCTCCTCACTCTGGTTGACATATGAACTTCCTGGTGTTGACCACTTGCAGATAGCACCATATAGTTGAGTGATGGATCTAATACAATCTTCTCTGTTTCGTTCCCCTGGATACCAGCAGCTTCCTCAAGGGCAATGTCTTCTTTATTTTCTAGTGGAATAGTGTTAACTACTGACCCAAGCTTTCCTTGAACCAATTCTGCTATCTGTTGACATATTTTCTCCTTTCCCCTGTTAATTATGTGAAGCCCATGTCTTGTAAAATGCTGCCTATCAAGATTTACACTACTAATCGACACGTTTATAACATTTCAGCCTTTTGACTAGATGTCTATTAAATAATCTAACCTCTTCATTAACACATGACCAATCAACTAAATCATGAAGAAAGCAGTCTTCTGGGATGTAGCCCCGTGTAGATGTGGAGTTAACCGATGATTCGGCGGAACGTATCGCCTCCATCTTCTCGGTAGGATGATGATGGAGGCGATATGTTCCTCCAAAACATCGGTTAACTCCATATCTACATGGTGCCACATCCCAGAAGACTGCTTTCTTCATAGTCACCGCCGTGAAAACCTCAAATCTTACAACTAAATCATGTCTGTGTGGTGCTTCCATAACTATGATGTTGGTATGACTGGTCCTCCTTACAAAGTTAATTATGTTTCTCAATCCTTCCTTTGCATTGTTATTACTAATACCATTAGAACCACCACACACCACTACATCATCATCCTTTGACATGTCTTTATCGATATTAGTATTGTGACGTGGACGGCGCAATGCTCGGTAAACACCCCC